AGATGAGTTCAGCACCCAGGATGCAGGACAGGAGGTTCACATCTGCCTGTGACTCCAGCTCCAGAGAAACCAATGCCTCCGACCTTTGAGTCATATACATATACACACAACACACACACACACACACACACACACACACACATACACACGCACACAGAGAGACAGAGACAGAGAGAGAAATGCTCCTTTAATTTTTAAAAAGAGAAATTTGCTTTAAAATTTTGAGCCATATATAGCGCTTGCCCTATATTCATTGCTATCTTAGAGGATTGCTTACAGAATTCCAAGGATCCTTAAAGTCTTTGTTCTCGAGCTATGCACTATAAGACGCCATTTGGCCTATGAGCTTCCCAGCTCCTGTTTTAGAATATGCTGCCTTCGTTTGCCATGTTCTTTGTTATTGACTAGGGTAATGCACTCTAAAAAGTTACAGCTAACTTGGAGGTGGTTTGGTATGGAAGGAATGAAAATGACTTTGGCCAATAGGAAAACCAACTTAAGGCTCCACACTGATTATCACACTCTATCTAACCGAGCAGTCATAATCCAGTATTATTTTTTCCAATGCCAAGTACTTAATTCCAGAGCTTGCTTTAAACCAGCTTTTCTGTTTTCTTGATTACCTCATTAAATAGACTAATTGATAAATATTTGCATTTATTCACTTTCTATGTGGACAATAATCTCGTTCGCTTTTAAAATTAATTTATTTGGGGTGTATGAATGAGTGTGAAGACAACTTGTTGAAGTCAGTTCTTGACTTCTACCTAACTGAGGCTGGACCTCTCCTTTCCTCTGTTGCATGGCTTCCTCCAGACTAGCTGGACCACACCCAGCTTTTAACATGGGCTCTGGGGCTCTAACACAGGGTGCCAGGCTTGCCTGGTAGGATTTCTACCCACTTAGCTATCTCCCCTTCCCAATAATCTTGTTCTTTTGAGAAAATTGTGGTTGACAGTCTCCATAGTTATGAGTCAGGGGTTTTGCACAAGGAACCGAGGAAGACAGTATGTTTAGAGAAGAGAGGGGGGTATGTTAAGTAAAGCTAGAGAGAGATGGATATATACTGTGGCCTAATCACATGACCTTGGCATGTGGAGAAATGTTGGCTTGACAATGAAAGCTTAGATCATTGCAGGATCATGCATGTATGTGTGTGTGAGTATGCAGGAGTGTGTGTTTTCAGAGGGAGAGATATCACCCATGCACATGAAATGGTCACTCACAGTACAGAGTGCAGATTTGAGATGTCCAAGTTGGAATGAGAGAAATGCATAACTTGCAGTGTCCTTTCTGGGAGTCTAATGAAGAGGAAGGGTTGTCCAGGATGCTTGGTCATCCCTTCCCTCTTCTGTTACAATTGAGTTAGTCCATCAAAAAGCCTATAAAGCCATGGAAAGTCCTCATGGTCATTCATGTCTTCTCTACTTGTGTCTCTGCATGTGCGTGTAGAAGCTTCCAACTGAACAGGAGAGGATGTGTGACTTGGCATTGTGTGAGTTAAGGATCCCAGAGACTTCCAACTGTAGTAATAGTCATTGATGAGGAACTGAAAATTCAGATGTTCAGAATTTGTCCTCATAGTGCATGCCTTTGCGGCAGTAAACTACACCCAGGACGCTGTTTGCCTAACCTTTAGTGCTGCTTGGACTTCTTTAGCTACATTAGCATACTGGTCAACCTACAGTCTTGTCCTGCTGTCCTGGAAGCTTTCTTAACTCCTTCAGTTGATGCTGACTGTCTCCCCTGTGAATGACATTGACTCTCTCCATTCTTGGTGATGCTGACTGTCTCCCCTGTGGGTAATGCTAACTCTCTCCCCTCTGGTTTATGCTGTCTATCTCCACTCTGGGTGATGGTGACTGTCTTTACTCTGGATGATGCTGACTGCCTCCACCCTGCCCTAGAGGTCATGCTGCTTTGCTTTATTGTCAAATCCAGAGGGCCATTTGACTGTAGCGATGAGTATATCACATCTGTACTAAGTACTCACAGTGCCATCAGATTTCACTGTGCATTCCCATTCTTGGGAAATTATGGAATGCCTCTAGTGAATAAAACATATTTAATGAATGAAGAGGTTAGTGTTTCATAAACCCAAGAAAGTGTAAACTGACTTCCACTATCAACAGTTTAAAATCAATTTGGAGGCATTTGGAAAGCATTTTAAAGAGCAACTAGACATCAATAAAATTTAATTAATTGGTTCTATGGATGCACATGTAAATTGGGTGTTAATTATGCTAGCAATGCTCTTCCATTAAAAATTAAGCTCATGATTAGTAACTGAGAAAAACAAGCCATCTTTCTATAAACAAATCTCATTCTGCTGTATCTGAAGCCAGCCTTTGGTAATTAAATCATAACTGCATTTCCTCAGATAAATCTGAGCTCTGATGGATGGATGGAGAGTCATCCAAGTGATCTCCACTGGGCTGCTCCATCAAAACAATTGATAACATCAGAGATGAGCTATGTGTGGTTGAGCCGCCCTTTAATACAAAACTATTGAATCATTGGAAATTCCTTCTTATCTAATAGACACCAAATAAAAGAATGATCAACCATCACAGGATTTAGTAAGAATTAGTGATCTTTTTAGAGCTGATGACATCTGAGGATGGAAGACCTGGGACAAAGGTCGTGAGCTGGTGAATCTGAGTCCTTTCTCCTCCTTTCCCATTCCTCTTTCTTACTCCAAGATGAATTCCTGTGCTTGATGATTAAAACACAGTATACTCTTTCTAGATAGTAGCTAGGACATCATTCTTTAGGATTTTCCCTGATGAAATTCTTGTGCTCCCTGGGAGTAAAAATCTAATCTGGACTCAGAGCTAAAACCAACCTAATGAGCTTCTTCACTGACAGTTATGCTACCCTTCAGAACTAGAAATAGAACAAATATTTGAAGCACTTTGCACACACTGCTAGTTTTCCTTTTCCCAGTAGACTTTTCCAAGGAAAATTGAGTCCATATGCTTCTGATCCTCTCAAAACCCAGCAAGCCACTGTTTTACTAGAAGGTCTTGATGGAGCATTTTATCTATTTCAATGAGTCCTTTGATGTCTCTTTTCATAGTCATGGAAAACTGAAAAAAAAAAAAAAGATAAACTCTGTCACCACCCCCCACATCCCATGACAGAAAGACAGATAGACACAATCACACACACACACACACACACACACACACACACACACACACACACAC